AAAATGCTGAACAAGAGACGGGAATAAGTGGTGAAGGTTGTTATTCGAAACCATCTTAGAACAAGTGGGATATATATAGAGATAGTTAGGAAAATATATCACATGAACTGATGCCTAAAAGTACTTTCTGAACCGTAGCTAGGTACTAAATGTGGTGCTCCTGATCAACTAGCCGGTTGCGAGACAAAATCTACATAGCTAGATGTGATTGCAACCAAATCAGTGCAGATACTATTTTGTCCATCATATCTCTAGTAGCTAGTAATTTTCGGAAGCTGTTTCTCCTATAGACAAATTTGGAGGCCAAAAAGAGTCATAATTATAACGAGTAGCTACGCAGCATCTATTATTGAATTCACTCTTATCTCACTTAATTTGTCAACATAAAATAAACACATTCCGAAACTAGAAGTTGTGTAACAATCTTTTGAAACAATTTAATATTCCTATAAATAAAGACTAAGCTGATGAGGTATCTATGTTTGTTCAAATGTGTTCATCAGCCTTTGTCGAAACTTAGACATTTTTCCATGTTAACCGAAATGAGTGCACGTGTGTGGAATTATATGTCATTATAAACATGCAAAGTTCCAGAGTTCGGTAGTGGAATTGGTACATTTTCACTGACGATGCCAGCTAAGCTATCGATGAAAAGTCTTAGAATGTACCAATTCACTGATCAGATGCTGGAATTTTCATGAGTATTATTGCTGAGAATTTTGGACAAGGTTACTTTACCAAAGATCCCTGAAAACGTGAACAAAATGTGTAAACTAGGTCAAATAGTTTCTTTTTGTTTAATTATGAATTCAGAAAGTTAACGAATATAGCCACTTAGAAATCAGAAAAAAAATTTTGAAATTATTTTTTTCGTGTTTCTTTATATGAAAAGGCAAGGCAAGGTTGTGTGTGGAAAAAAGGTCATCCTCCAAAAAAAAGAGAAACTCATGTAAGAATCAACCACTTGGCATAAACTCTTGATGGGATTTCTCATACATAAAATCCAATAATATGTGTAAACTTCACTACCATGGTTGGCATTGACCTTGTCCTTTCTTAAGTAATTCTAAAGCTACGTGCAATATGGGAACCACCAAGATTTTGATGCACCTGTTTTGCAAGGAAGCATCAAAGTCAATTATGACTTTTAAATAAAGTTCAAACATTGTAACAATCGAATAAAACTAAATTGACTTCGTTATTAAGCGAATTCCTTTAACCCAGACAATTTGTCAAATATACCAATTAGAAGAAGTGATTTATTTTCACATACTGTTAGTCTCAAAACTGTTCTTATATGAGAAAGAATCTTCCATGTTATAAACAAAAATGTCTGTCTTAGAATTCTGTAAATCCTTGAAAGTTTGCTGATAGCTAGTTAATTAAAACAAATAAAATGAGGGTTTCCGGAGTTCAAACTAATTTTGCGACGGATCTAAACCTAGTGTCATATTAATCTAATGTTAGAACAAGGAAAAGCTGAATTTTGAGTGAACCACTATCAAAAAGGACTGGAACTGATGAGGGTAATGTATTATTATTCTTTTGAATAGAATTAAAATTCATTTTCAAGATGAGCCAGAATGCCAAATCCCTAATCCCTTCAGAAGGAAATATTAATTCGGAAACACTACATAATACAATCTTGAGTTAAATTCGAGAATTCTTTAATAGAGTTCGGCGAATACATATCGATAGACATGTGTCCACCACGAGGGTGGCAGTAAGGATTTCGATTTACGCAAATTAAACGTATCCGACTGAAGTATATCATATAATTTACTTTCATACCAACCTTACAGTATACGTCTTGCACATTAGATAATTAGCGAAATAATTAAAAGCTAAAGTATTTGCAGAATTATATTTGATAATGTACATATAAGAGACAAGTAAGATAGTGTTTTGTTGTTTTTGAGTCAGATTGCACAAAACTTACCCTCTTTCACCCTCAGACTATGTTGAATTTCATATTTGCCTCATATGATGCTAATGAAATTGGTATAGCAATCATAGAAGAAATCAATTCCTCATATCTTTCCGAGATCATAAATTTTTTATTTGTAAATGGATGCAACATGCACTAGCCCAGATAACTAATTATTGCATGTACTATTGCCTTAGATTCCAATATTTCCTTTTATTGTAGTCCCTCATGGATCAAATACTAATAACTTCACAAAGTATAATTTAATTAGCAGGCGACTTCTACGCTAGAGGCAAGATTTGCCTGAGGATAAAAGGATTGTATTATGGCAATCCAACCGTTTGACTTCATACGTCTAATTCTAATCACCAGAGCAGACATTTATGCATGAGTTTATGCTATTTTCTCTATTATTTAGATTTACTTTGAATTCGCTGTGGTGGCAAGACTTAATATAAAGTGGGTGGATTTACACCAAATAAGAATTGATAGTTATATATGCTTACTGACGCTTAAGTATGATTGATGAGAACATATAACTCAACAAAGAAACTAAAATCGATCATGAAAGCCCTTTCGGTTGGCCGTCCTCTCTAAGTGTGATGGTCCTGAAAAGACGTAAAAGTAGGTTTTTGATTGAGTAGCTTAAGTAATGTGTATAAATGGCAAAAGCATGTGAAAAGCCCTCATATAGGGAAAGCGCTCAATAAACAACGGCGTAATAACAAAATACGATGCAATTGTCGTCCTAACTAAAGTTGTGGTTATGGTGTGCTGCCGTAAAATAAATGGTCACTCTCCTGCTTTTAAGGTATGAGCTTTCCACGAATGATCTTAAGAACCATTAGATAGGCTAGAAACGTCATAATTTTATATGCATGGGTATAACTATTTAATCTAACAGGATAAGCAGGAATGATGTATAACATTTATTCGAATTTAAGAACCTCTTTGAGGATTGTTGAACGAATTATTAATGAAAGTTCAAAAAGAATTCTCAATTTTGGCTCTACAACGTTATTTCTTTTATATACCGAGTAGACTTGAGCTTTTAATTTGGCTTGGTCTCATTATAACCCTATGGTGAGTCCAGGATCACTTCTTACCTAGCTATAAGCGACTTGTATCTAAAACTATCATATCCTTTCAGTGCTAACACTAAATTTTATTAAATACCTTAACCTCAAAAGATTATAGGACTTTTCAGCTCATAGGGATGAAAGTTATAAAGTAACATTTTAGTCCTAAATCCAAAACCAGTAAGGAGAGATGTCACTAAATTTGTATTGAACTATCATCTTAATGAAATAGTGAGAATAAGCTTTTTATAGTATAGATTATAGGATCATAAAATATTAACGGAAATCGAGATGAATTTCGGGATATTTTTAGATGTAGGTTAGCATACTCATGTAGTATTTGATATCTCAAAATGTATACAGAGAATTAATAGTATAGGGTTTTGAGAAACTTATATAAGTGGCAGAGTGACATAGCAATATTAATGAAATTGAAAAAAATGCAAATTTAGTGACTTTAACTAATATTTATAATGAATTTATGCCTATTTATATTACCTGAAAATGCGTTTAGAAAAAAGCTAGCTATCTGGGTCGCTAAGCTAATTTGCCTAAATAATAGGCGAAGTGACGATATTTTGTCTTTTCAAAAGCTCTTAGAATAAACTTTCAAGCAACTGAATGAGAGTGGGAGCTTTGATTTCTTATGTATTTATTTGCAATATATTTTACAATAGGTATCTATCACGAGGCCACATGAATTTGCGTTGGTAATCAGGGGCCACCTCTAAACACTGTGCTCTCTCGTTAACCAAGCGAATAAAGGACCTGCTTCCTAATCAGGCTGTAAGTATATACGAAAATTCTGCAATATAATGTCTAGTAAAATTCATGTTTACAAGCCATAATAAGCTCTATACAGTTAAATACTGCCTTTTGTCCATTAAAAAATCAGGAAATGTATGAATTTTAATTTCACATTGCATCTCTATACCACAAATATCAAGCATTTATATTGTATTTATTTAAAAAAAAGACATCCGTTTACGCTATTGTTGATTTTTGTCTCGAATATGTGGAATTATTTGTTTCCGAAATCTGTAACAATAAAAACGACCTCGTGATAAATTATCAGGTATTTTTTCCCAGTTTATAGTCTAGTATTATTAACAATTAATATTAATATAAGCCATTGAATCTATTCCAAGTTAAAATTATATTATATTCTTAAGCTTTTATGACTTTTTACGATACCTGACTTCAATGAGACATTTATAAAAAGACTAGTTAAACTTTCTTGCTTTCATTGTAAGTGTAGACTATTTTGATAAGAAAAAGCAAATATACTTCTCTTGAAATAACCTTTTTGTGAAGGAGCTAAATCCACTAAATCTGCTTGAAAACTAATATGGAGATATTAGTCTTTAATACCTCTTTATGTCAAACAAGCAGACACGTCTTTATGTTGAATTTTGACTTCAAATGTCATCGCCAGCGTAAGTACACAAGAAATTAGCCAGTTTTGGGTGCAAGAACATGGGAAATCATGAAACATTTTAATAGGCGCAAGTCCTTTGTCTAGCTACCAGGAAACTCTCTTTATTTTAAACACATAAATACTTTTTGAATTCATACCGTTGCATAATATGCAAATTAATTTAAGTTGCATTTATCTAGTCCCTTGAGAAAGCCTATAATTACAAGTTAAGATTTCATAATGATATTCGAATACTATGAATATCTACATAAAGAAGTACCCTTGAACCTACAAATTATATGACTTAATCGAGTTGAAATATGCCACATTTGGTAGGTAAAATATTATGGACAATATTTGCTTAGTCGAAGGCCACCTCTTTTTTAAAATCGAGAATTGAAAGATCTCGTTAGGTCCATTTCGAACTTATCTGCTGCATTTGAAACAGGAAAAATAAAGTAAATTAGGTTTTTTCAAGAGCTATTAGATGATGATTCAATAAATTCGTATTGTATTTTAGGCAGAAAATGTTGAGAATTTTAGTAAAGTATTCGCAATTAATTCAGATTAAAGGCGCTTAGTTGAAGTTCCCAATTACACTCACCACATCCAGAACCTGCGACAGCCGAAGACTAAGAAAAACCGTCAGCGTCTGGCTATTTTCGTTGACAGGGCGTATAAGAGGATTGTAGCGCTGGTTGTCAAATAAAGCTTTAAGGAGCCGATTTGCATCCTCAATATTGTCTGCTGCCACTGTAGGTGTGAGCAATAAGGAAGCAAAGAAAGGGAAATAAATTCACTATTAAACACATAACTTGGACAGTTTCTAACGCAAAGTATAAAATAAACAAAAGAATACTTGACTAGTCTTGAATGGAGCTTACCCCGATAACGCCATGTCAGCAGAAGAATGAAGAGCGTGGCTTTCACCATTGGTCTTCTGAATTGTTCTGGAGCAACTTGTTTTATATAAGTTGGACATAAGTTTGTAATTTACCAAGTTTCCTTGAGTCAAGACCGTTTGTGTCCTTCATAATCGGACTACTTGACTGCTGCTATTGAGAGAGCATGAGTAAGGGATTCTCTAAATACTTCTGCAGTTATTAGATTTCGCATTAGTTCGGGACATTCTTCGGGACAATGTGGCAAGTCGGGTTGCATTACTTGTGCTCTATTTGCAGTGGGAAGTGGCTAAGAGGAGACTCAAACTGGAGGCAAAGAATCATCTCAAAAGAATAGACACAGAGAATGACGCTAACAACGAAAGAGCACGAGACAATGAAGTAGAAAGGGGGCAAATAAGTGGGAATAGCTGTAGGGCTGGCGTATGTCTTGGTTTATGTCCATTCCTCTGCAGGTGATTTAGCCAACAACTGGCTGCCGAGAAAAAGACGAATTATGGTATGTATAGAAAAGGCAAAACAGACAAATAGAGTAAAAATGCAACGGAAGCTAGTCAAAAGAGAACAGAAAGCGTGAGAAAACCATTCCAAGAAATTTCCTCATAAAATAGAGGAAATAATACAATAATGGTGGGATGAATAATTGTGAACGTAAAATTTGGAAAACCAATCCACGAAGTAGAAATTCAAGCGAACAAATGTGTAAAAAATGATATAATAAAATAATATAAAAAAAACGGAATTTCAACTTTTCAAACAATCATTAT